GAGTAAAATAGAAGAGTAGAAAGGTGATTGTGATATCAGTTTCTCCATTCGAACATATAGTCTAGATCTAAATTCCTATGATTAAATGAGAGACTAACTGAAACAAAATTGCTTCCGCAAGAAAGACAGTAAATAATATTTGTGATAACTTGTTTGATACTTAGTGACCATAGCAAAACAGTGTTAGAAAGGAGTTAATTTTTACAAACTAGCATTTTCCTTAATATCTGGAGAACTGAAAGTTAGGTGTCTATGGACATTTGGCACAAAATTTTTATTTTTAAGAATAGTAAGTAACAGTAGTGAAGTATCAAGAGCAGTGTTGCTGAAAGTAGGTTGTGATCAAGTAGAATCTGATGGAAAAAGAAAAGGGATCATTGATATTTTGTATTTATCAGAGATATAGAACACAACTCTGATGATTTCCCAAAATTACTGAAGGATGTTTTGTTGGAGGTTTCAATACTTTGGCTAATAATTTGAAAATAAATGAAGTTTGTGAGATACAATAATTGTAGAAAATTTTAAAAAATATATATTTAAAAGAACACTTAAAGGATTTCTCTTAATATTCAAAGGAAATCAGCTAAGGTTCTGCCAGGAAAAGGATGGCTCACTCAGAGAAATTTAGAAAAGTTGAATGTAAAAATTAAAGGATATGGGAAGATTAAAAGAAACCAAAAATATATAATTAATCTTTCTGGGTTTAGAAACAGTGGGGAACTGTTTCCCTTCCCTATGCTGAAAAAGCAAGCTAAGAATGCAGTTAATAGAAACTAGAACTGTAGCTATAATAAAGAACATTCTGACATGAAGTATTAACTTATGTATATGAACGTAAGGTGAGGTTGTAGGTTGAAATATACAAACAGAATTTTCTGCCCAGATTTCCATCCCATTCATGACCTATTCTCCTCTCACCTTCTGACCTTCTGCTAGTGCAACACATTAGTAGGACCAGGCAGAAGCCACTGGTCAGCATCCTGAAGTACGGATGGAGAAAGAGAAAGAGAAAGCATCCGGAGGAGACTATTTAGTACCCAACGCAATGTGTGTAAGATTAAGATAATAAATTATAAGTTATAAAGACATTAGAGAGTATTATGCTGAAAAGGAGAGATCAGTGTCATTAGAGCGTGTGAAAAAGGAAAAGATAGTCTCAGAGACTGAAATAGGTTGAATATCTACCTGTCTATGGGCTCCTGAGAAGAAGAATCCTTGATTTATCTGCTAGGAGGCAGCACTGACTCTAAATATAATTATAATATGATGACAAGGGAAGGCTGTGCTCTGAGTTTCATGACTCTCAAATGCATAAGACCTAGCAGCCACACAACTGTATGACCACAGTGGTGGTCCAACCTCAAGAGTCATCATTGGCCACATAGAAACCCTTTTTGGTATAGAAACCCTTGTACATTTCCAGCACCCGGACTTGACACAGAACTGGGACAAAGGTAAGCAGGGAATTCTTTCCATTCTTCTCCACCATTAGTCCTCTCTATCTACTTAAGTGAAAGACAAGGTATTTTTTTTTCTTTCACTTTTTATTTGGCCCTAGGAAGTAAATAATTTTAAGGTTGTTAGACACTTTTTTGCCCTTTAATACTTTGACCATTTGGTAGAAAGTCTGCACTTGAGTGACACTGAATCTTCTGCTAGAGGTTTTAAAGGAAAGTGAAATAGTCAAACTCTACAGTGGTATTAAAAAACTCTTGCAGCAAGCGGGTGGCTATGCTGTCAGTGGCCGTCTAATAACCATGAAGAAATCCTGCAAAGGATAAAGCCGAAATACAAATACATGTAGGGTTGAGAGTATTAAAAATGAATAGAACCATGATCCAACTCTGCATAAAGCTAAGACTTCCTCTAAACAATTTGATCATATCAACCAATAAATCTTGCATCAATTTAGTATTTGAATTAGGATTATGTTATTTACAACTAAAAACTTTCAAATTAATACACTAAAAATATTTATAAACCATTAATCTCATTTTATTACATATTTTCTTTCTTTCTTTCTTTCTTTCTTTCTTTCTTTCTTTCTTTCTTTCTTTCTTTCTTTCTTTCTTTCTTTCTTTCTTTCTTTCTTTCTTTCTTTCTTTCTTTCTTTCTTTCTTTCTTTCTTTCTTTCTTTCTTCATATTTGTAATTAAATTTATTGAGGTGACATTGGTTAATAAGATTATTAAGTGTACAATATTATAATACATCTTCTGTATGTTGTGTGCTCATTACCTAAAGTTTAGTCTCAGTCTGTGATTATATATTTGACCCTCTTACTCTCTTCAACCTCTTCCCATGTCTCATCCTCTCAGGTAACCACCATAATGTCGTGTCAATTACAACAATTTTGTTTTTGTTTGTTTATTTTGTTCATTCATATTTCTTTTGTTTTATATCCCACATATGAGTGAAATCATATGATTCTTGTTCTTTTCCATCTGACATTTCGCTCATTGGGATGACATTCCATCCTGTTGTCGCAAATGGCAGTATTTCATCTTTCTTCATGGTTGAGTAGTATTCCAATGTACCACAT